TCTCAAGCCTGCTGATTACTATGTTAAAGCGATTATTGCGAGAATTTTCCAGTGTTTTCACCACTTTCATGACGCCTACCGTTATTGCTCGAGTAACAGCAATTGTCTAGAGTAACAATAAAATGTCCTAGAACCATCGTATTCACTAAAAACTGCCAGTTTCGAACTACTGGTTTCGAACTAGTTTTGTAAACATTTATTTTCTGTTATCTTGAACTAGGCGGAAGTGTGGATTAGCTTGTGGCGCCACCGCTTATCTGCCATAGACAAAGCATGGCTCTCTCAAATCATGCACTTGTTTTCAATTAATCACCGACACAAATACAAGTTTGCCAATTCTGCCATTAGGCATTGTCGCGACACGATAAAATGCATTGCGGTTACGATGTGTTCATATCCAATTTTCTATGCTATAACTGCATAAAATCTTAGTATTTATAATGTTGGTGTAATTAGTGATATTTTTGCTGTCAGTTGAGACTATATTCAGCTATATTTAGTTTTTCTGAGCAAAAATCTCGCAATAGTCATTTTAATAGTACATAGATTTCCTTGTGTTGTGAGCGTGGCAGCCGCATACCAGCAGCGGGAGTTTTTGAAGCTGCCACGCTCGTGGGGAAATACACGTACTATGAATGTAATAATCACGGATGCTCGAGATTGGATAAGTGGATCCGTGTATTTTTCAACGGACTGTAATTTGTTGCTAATTTGGTCCACAATACTCCGTGGTCTCCATGCGTTTTGCACCATTTATGTGTATAGTCCGTGTTTTATGCATTTATTCCAGTTCATAGTGCGCATTGAATGTGCTACGGAATGATGGAGATTTCTCCTCGGCTGTTGCAGTTTGAGGTATTTGAATGGCATACAATCTCGGTATGGTTACAATTGAACAACTCTGATTTAGTGCTATCTCCCTATTTTTTCATTACAGGATGCGTCTGTGCACAAGTGTGACAGATAGTGAAGCAGACCGAGCAAAGGCCCAGTTGCGTACATCAATGCTACTGCAGACACAAGGCACTACCCCTAAAGCTGATGAAATCGGAAGGTAATCGATGCTTACCATTGTGATTTCATTTAGTTGCATTCTGTGAAATTCTGTGTGAACGGCACCAGAATAATGTCATTAATAATCAGCCCATATAGTATTTTTATACTATAAATTTATATAAATAAAATATTAAATTATTTTAATAAAATATAGTATATATTTTTATACTAGTCTTCATTTGGCATACTCAGAGGCAATGTGATTATACAGTGACATGATGTCAATAGCAAATATAGTCTTTTTGTTTGGCATATTAAATTTATGACATAACAGCATGATGCATTCATGAGGTCATATGACATGATGTAGGAAGCATGCTAATTGTCTCTTTCTCTTTCTCTCTCTCTCTCTCTCTCTTCCGTTCTTCTCTGCACGTGCATGAGTGCAGACAAGTGTTGATGCACGGACGTCGCATCCCCTTCGCAGAGATGGATAACATGATTAGTCAGGTGACGCCAGCCCAGATTCGGGATGTCTGCACAAAGTACATGTACGACAAATGTCCTGCAATCGCTTCTCTCGGTGAGTGTCTCATAGCTTCCAATTTAAATGGTCAGGCTTGAAAATAAGCATACTGAAATTGTAATATTCTATGCATATATAAGTTCAAAAGACAAGGGTATTGTAAGTAATGCAGTAACTGTGGCCATATTAGTGAAATGTTGTGTACGTTTATTCTTGCAAACATTTTAAATGAGGTGGCTTTTTCTTTACAGTTGTATCGATAGGCTCTGCACTATTGGGTTCATGTATCTACTAGCACAAAAATTTTATTAGCATAGAAGACATCAAACATGGCACCCAACTTGATATGTTTCCAATAATTCAATTATGTAGCATCTGTATCATGTGTATAAACAAAGCATTGCTACACCAATCACTACAGCTTTGCTATCACTACGTGAATCCTTTGCTATCTGAAGGTGTGGTCCCATTATATTGTACGTTTGTACCCTATAGGTCCAATCGAGCAAGTACCTGACTACAACAGACTGAGAGCAGGGATGTACTGGCTGCGTCTTTAACACACACAAAATAGAAAATGTTGAGATCACAAGTTATCAGTAGCAAACCACTGGAAAAGAATCTTATTGGTAAGAGTACAGAGTATCTTTGCAGTGTTAACGACAGATAATTGAAGGCATTTTTTGTTGTAGCTGTTAAGCAATGTTAGCCAGTGGTTTCTGTTTCTGTTCTGTTTGCGTTAATAAATAAAGAATGAAAATCGTCATTTCTGTGGAAACATTTATCAAATATGATGTATCTCCATATAATGCGCATATATGCCCTGAATGCAACATTAATTCGCTTAAGGATACTGTCAGGCGTACGGCTTACGGCGTAACACTGTAAAGGGCATATGGCAACAACGAATATCCATTAGCATATGAAAAGTTTGCGCTGGGAAATTTTGTTGTAAATCGCACTTTAATTTAGGAAATAATATTGAAATAAATGTACGACAATTTTGGAGTGATTTTCCTAGAAAACGCAATCTAATTTCGTAAACAAAGAGCATAACTTATAGGTTTCAGACCGAGATTGGGGTGATGGTCAAATGCGAGTTGCAGCATGACATCTAATGACTCATGTTTTTGCAGACGCACCAGCACAAGCCGCACACAATGCACAGCGTTCACACACACACGTCGTTTTCACACACACACAAATAAACTTCTGTTACAGGTAACATACCAAAATGCAAATCTCTTTTATATAATACAAACAAAGCAACTTAGGGTAGACAGCATTACAATTATACTCTCAATCTACTTAAAAATACCATATTATTAAAAAATATTATTTAAAAGACTTAAATTAAATCTTTCTATCCTTAAAGGCGACAGTAGCCTCTACGATTTAACTGCATACACTTACTTACTGTATAACAAATCGTCTATTACCCACGACGTAATTTAGTTACCAAAGATACCTAATTATAATTGTATTATAAATTCACTTAGCACTTATGAACGCTGATACGAAATTTTGTGAACTCCACAGCACGCGCATGACACGTGCAGACCGTGCTGGCCACCCCGAAAACAACTGCGTGATTCTACAAATTATTTTGCACGTTACAGACCGAGGGCTAATCACAAAAGTGCAATTATATTTATACTTAAATGCTATTTAACCGAACGATATTCATTTTAGGGCAAATTTATCCATATTATAACTAACTGTATGTCGTTTATAAGATATTACAATCCTTTTGCTTTTAAATGAATAAATAAGTAATACCCTCGGTCTGTAGCCCTTGGCTGGAAAGTGGTTTTGCGCAACTTATCAGATCGCGCGCTTTGAGTGGCGCCACCGTCGTTGTAATCAAACTGTAGTCGTTAGTTTTAAAACATTTAAAAAAAAAATTTCTAATGGTGATTAAACTATGAAACTTTTTATGTAGCGTAATTATAACCTGAATTAGCTGAAAATAACCCTAGAACCTAGAGTAAACTCTCCCTTTAATTATAATGATATATACATATATAATGCGTAGATGCGTGTATTGGCGCACAAGCACTCTACATCTAGACACACCGAACATTGCATATAGGAAACGCATTCATCAAAGATAAAACGCCATACGACGCTAACTTCATATGCACCGAATCGGCAGTGACCGAAATTATATCAGTATAAATCAGTACGCGTCTCTCTAGCTCCACCTCCTCTCTTCCACCCAGTGCCTCGCACCCCATCTCCTGCTCTCATGCCATCCGCCTGAATGAAGTTGAATGCCATTGAAGGTTTCTAGAGCTTACTGAAAGGCGACTATGAATTATAGGACTCCCACCCCCAACAATAATTAAGACAATTAATTACTTATTCTTTATCTTTTTATATACAAACAAAATTTACCACTACAATAAAATTTCAATGGAGAAATGGTCATATGCCGTATTACATATTATACGTATTATACGTATAACATAAATATATTAACCTACTGATACAGCATAATTTTGAAACATGTTGTTGTTGACGTGTTTTTGTGTGTGCATTTTTTGCTTAATTTCGTACACACACGCGCGTGCGCACACATGCACACATACATATACGCACACGCAACGCGCGCACGTACGTACGTTCAAACGTTTGTTGAAACGCGTATAGTTCGTATGAACTTGTGGTGCACGGCACGCTTGCCTGTGTAGTCATTGCCTGTGTAGATATTCTTAGTCCGGAGTAGTTTCCCTCGATTCTGCGGATAGATGGCGCCCAACTGTTGTATTTTACTATAATTGTTGCCAACTCTCTGATTCACACGTACACGCACGATCGATCACACACATGCACGATCAAACACACGTACATACGCATGCACACACGCACGCGCGCGCGCGCACACACACACACACACGCACGCACACACACACACAATAAACACACACACACACACACACACACACACAC